AACAACAACAACAATGACAACAAATTTTCAAAATAATGACAACTACTCTTTTAACTTCTCTCAACGCTTAACGCATTATACAAGTTGCATAAGGTATCAAAATGACTGAAAAAGTGAATATTTTGTAGCTGAATATACAATAATATACACCTTAGTTATTGATAAACGTTTAAAGAAGTTAGAGAAGCAGAAGGGAGAAAACAAGAAACAAAAAACGCTAAGATTGCTTTAAATTACTAGAAAAAAACTTATACGTATACCTCTTTGCATGCAGTTTTTGTTGCTAAGACAGCCATATGCGATTAGTGAGGGCGGGAAGACACCTTGCAGCTGTCAAGGGGTTATTTTACAGTTCCTATTAAAAACCACTGTATAGTGGCAGCGTTGTGTTGATGTTCGGGAAAGGTTATCGATCGGTTGAGGTTGCCTGCCGCCGTGCCTGCCCAGGCATTCTTATCGCAGGCATGGAAGGGAAATGCTTCTCAGCTGTCTGCGGGCGGTCAAGGACCACATGCGGGGGCAGTTGCTTGGGGAATTTACAGGGGTTCTGCAATTGACGTTGCTTCCCAAGCCAATGGCCCCACCTAAATTTTCTTCGTAGTCTGGTAGTCTATCACAACCAACCTTCCCAATCTTCGAATTCAACAACAGATTTCTATCAACTCTGTTCTGTCAACTTTTTTCCATTGATTTCTATTCCCTTACAGAGGCTACTCCCTCACAAACAGCCACAATGTTCGCCGTCAAAGGCCTCAACGTCTCAACAGACAAGCTCAAAGTCGAGACCGAGCATGGCTCCGTCCTAGCGACCCCGATGTCCCGTACTGTCGCCGCCGGCGAAGAGGGCGCTGGTCCCAAGCCCAAGAACAAGAAGCGCAAGAGAGCCGGCAGGTCCAACAACACGGATGTCAATCTCGAGAACGTCGCCGACCTCTGGGAGAGGGTGATCGAGGGCGGCGACAACAAGGCCAGGAAGGCCAAAGAAGATGCGAAGAAGGAAGCTCACAAGGTTAAGAAGCAAAAGACCGAGAAGGACCAGGCCGAGGGTACTACTACTACCTCCGAGGCCGCCGCTTCCAAGCCAGCTACCACCTTGAAGGACAAGAAGAAGAAGATGAAGGCCGAAAAGAAGGCAGCCGCCGCCGCCGCCGATGCCACCGCTACCACCAGCACCAGCACCACCGAATCCAAGCCCGCCGCGCCCGCCGCACCCAAACTCACCCCCCTCCAAGCCGCCATGCGCGAAAAGCTCATCAGCGCACGCTTCCGCCACCTGAACGAAACACTCTACACCCGCCCCTCCAAGGAAGCTTTCTCCCTCTTCTCCGACTCTCCCGAGATGTTCACCGAGTACCACGAAGGATTCCGGCGGCAAGTCGACGTGTGGCCCGAGAACCCGGTAAATGGGTACATCGCCGACATCAAGACGCGCGGCAAGCTGCGCAACGGTCCGCGCACCCGACCTGGCGATGGGTCGTCTGATGGAACCAAGTACCCTCTGCCCAGAGACAGGAACGGGCTGTGCACGATTGCCGATCTGGGCTGTGGAGATGGCAAGCTTGGCGAGGCGTTGTTGCCGCTTAAACGCAAATTGGGGATCGAGGTCAAGAGCTACGATTTGCAGGATGGTGGAAAGCCGGAGCTTATTACTAGGGCAGATATTGCGAATTTGCCGCTGAAGGATGGGTCCGTGGACGTGGTGATCTTTTGTTTGGCGCTGATGGGCACGAACTGGATTGATTTCGTTGAGGAGGCGTATCGTATTCTCAGATGGAAGGGCGAGCTGTGGGTTGCGGAGATCAAGTCGCGGTTTGTTGACCCGACGAAAGGCAAAAAGGGCGGCGTGGTGACCCACAGTGTGGGCAACCGCAGAAAGCCCGGTGCCGCATCGGGTGGTCCCGTAGGCAAGAAGGACAAGGCCAAGCTGAAGGAGGAGGAAGAAGCCGAGGAGGAGCAGCAGTTGGCTGTTCACGTGGATGGTGTCGAGCTCCGCAAGCAGGAGACGGACGTCACTGCTTTCGTGGAGGCGCTGAGGAAGAGAGGATTCCTCCTCCAGAGAGAGTACGGCCATGGCGCGGTGGACATGGATAATAAGATGTTTGTCAAGATGCACTTTGTCAAGGCGGTGCCGGCCATCAAGGGCAAGTGCGCGGACATGAAGAAGGAGGCGCTCAAGACGACGCAGACGGATGCCAAGGGACGGCCTATCAAGACGCCCAAGTTCATCGATGCTGCCGCCGATGGGGACTTCAATGAGAACGCTCTTCTCAAGCCCTGTGTCTACAAGATTAGGTAGACGATGGATAGGGTCGTGAGTGGTTGAGTACGATTAGTTAGCTAATGAATGGTTCAAGAACCATTATCTCTTTGCATACGCAACATTCTAGTATCTAGATTACGTGCAGTTGTATGTCTACGACGTCGTGTACTACCAACCTCTTCATATCTAGCCCTTCTGTGTTGCTACAAGTTTGTCGTATTTACAGCCCACCCCACACAAGAGTCCAGACAAGAGGTCCAGAACAAACCGGTAAAGCAGTGAAACATGGTCTTAGAACACTTCAAATTTGACATCTTGCGATTGATTGTTCGCTTGATTACATGTATTATGATCTCAATACCGTCTCTTTACGTCCCGTTCACCTCATGACGACCACTCGTCATAAACATGCGCCGCTGTGATTTTATCCCATTAAATGAAGACGCTCTCCAGTCCGTGCAACCACTCCAACTCCAAGCTCCATTATCTTCATCTTCCTAAAAGCCCTCAAAGATTAGGCTGGCCGCATATTCCACATTCCCGTCCGTCGCCTCCAAAGCCCTAATTGCCTTTTGTTCATCAGCACCGAGTGCTACAAGCTGCTCAATATGCTCACGGGGAAAAGACCGGGCTTGAGGCGCTTGCGGACGGGCTTGAGCTGGCGGAGCTTGGGGTGCCTGGGGTGCGGGAGTGGGAGAAGGAGCGGATGGACCCGGTTGTGCAAAAGATGGGCCAGCTTCACCCTGACGTTGCTGTGCAGTACCAGGTCCCGAAACCGCGCCGGTACGCTGACCGATAGTGGTACCGCCAGGGCCGTCGATCGTAGGCTCATCCTGAAGCGCCTCCTCTGTCGCCTTCGGAATGTCCGCCTCGCCCAAGAAGGGAATTTCCTCGCCCTGAATGACGAGCGCGTTCTTGGCCAGGTCGATGCAAGCCTGATAACGCTTCAACATGTCCAAACCGAGAAGCATGTCGACGTTCTTGCCCTCCATCACGGTGAAACTGCAAGGCAGGAAGAGCGTACCGATCTTGATAGGAGCCGTGTGCACTCGACCGATGATCTTGGCAGTTCCGACACCCTTGGCGATACCACCATACCGCTTGTCGACCAGACGCATGATCCCGCACGCCTCGGCGATGTCGGGGCTCATGATTGTTGCTTGTGCTCCGGAATCGACGAGGGCCTTGACTTTGGCTCCGTTCACCTCAACATCCAGATACAGCATGTGTACGGTACCGAATACTGCAAACGACAAACGAAAAGTCAGCGGCAAATTTCCCGACCACACACGTAAAACAGAAACCCTCCAACTCTGCTTATTCTTCACTTACCCTCAGGATTATGCTCCATAGCCGTCTGCAAGTTCTCCGTCACCCGCTCTTGGCGAATGATCTCCTCAATCCTCGCCTGCGCCTCCGGGTTGAACGGGTCCTCGTTCAATTGCTGAATTACCCGATGACGCTCCGCCCGTTCCCTCTGTTCTCTGTCGTACCTCGCCCGGAAGAGTTGCGCCCACCGCTGGGGGTCGTTGATAGCGGCCGCCAAGTCGGGGGCTGTCCTCTCCACCTCGGCCCTCAGGGCCGGATTCGCCAGGAACTGCAGACGCAAAAACTCGGGATCTTGTTGGGGAGGCGCCGCTTGCCTGCCGCTTTGTTGTTGTGGCTCGGGAACCGCCGTGGTCCGTTGCGTCTCGCGCACGTGCAAGGCCAGCATGTCGCCGTCGGTCACGTTGAGCTGCGTCAGGGTCTTGGTGTTGTCGGTGATCAGGTTGCCGTTATGGTAGAGATGTTGTGTGCTGGGGTGGTGGCTGGTTTCGGCCTGGATCGAGTTGCGAAGGGTCTCGAGCGTCATGTCGGGGAAGACTTGAAGGGAGAGGAACTCTTGCTCCACTCCCGTCGTGTCCTGGATGGCGATGGTTATTTGCCTGTCAGAAATTCATATTAGCGGCTGTGGGAGTTGAATTCAGTTTGTTGTTTTTGTCAACTTACATGGTGACGTCGTTCGTTCTCAGCGAAATAGCAAGAGCGCGGTAAGTAGATATTAAATGGGTGATGGCGTCACCGGCCAAGCTTAGAAGAGTAGAGGCACCAAAGAGTCTCTGAATGGGGAGGAAGGAGGAGTGTAAACGAGGAAGAAGCGGAATCCTAAAAGATGTCTAGAAACGGAAGAAGGCAAGGCTGAGTAATTGTAGTTCAAGATTCCAGAAGTGAAGGGAGACGGCCGGGTGGGTGGCATTTACCTAGGAGGGGCTCTGGGGCAGGCACCCGGGCGATCCAGTGGATCCGAGGCGAGCCGTCCGCTTTCTGGACCGGGCCCGCATGCAAGGGTCCTGGACTCTCGGTTGCAATTGACACGCTGGGTCCGTCAAAGTTGCCATGCAACTGCCACTGTAACTAGTCGATAGCAGTTGACCGCACCCCTGAACTCGAAAGGTCCAAAGCAAAATGCAATCGGACTGTCATATTAGTAGCTCCATCTGACACTATGAATGGAGCTCTCCATCAGTGGGTCTAAGCCCACGTTGGCCCGGTGAAAGCATCACGATCATGTAAACAAAGCTCAGTTTCATCTTGCGCGTAGGATCGGGTGAGATGACAACCGTCTTGCTTCCTATGTGTTTCCTCGGTAACCTTGAAACTAGCGGGCAAAGCCAACTGTCCTCTCTTCTCCTTTTGGAAGGAAGATGAGATGACCTGTCTCCTTCCACCTCATCATGCTAAATCTGCCGAAAGGCAAATGGGCAACACGTGATTTACACTGGCAATAGGCCTCGGTTTGCCCTTGGATTAAAGGGTTTGGTGGACAGTTAGGGCACTGCTCCTATTTTTGTATGCTAGATTCACCGATGTGGCACGTCTCATGTCCTATGGGAGGCGGAAGTAGACGTTAAAAATAACAACAACAACAACAAATCTGCCGAAAGGCATGAGGCTCAATTCGGAAGTTCCCACATGCAAATGATTCCTAACTTCACATAGGGGTAAATGACAGTGGCCATCGTTCGTCTTGTAAGTGACAAACACGGGCCTACGACACCTCAGCGATTTCTGCCTGTGATCATAGCTTTGGAACTGTCACGCTGTGCCTGGCTGGCTTCTCAGAAATTGCGCAATGGAAGTTGGCGGAAGTCCGTGGAGGTTCTTTTTTTGAGGCGAATAAGGTTGGAATAAGCAAACATGGTATACGACACCCAAGCCTCTGGAGCCTTGTAAGTACATTCTGACCTTGTGGAACTTAAAAGCTGCCAGGTGAGCATGTTGTGCCTCTTGTACGATAGTTCATGCTTTTCATGGCATGTTACCAAGCTGTTCCCATAAAGCATCTTCCATGTTATATTATTTGTGGAAGTCGAAGCCAAAGCTTATATCAACTTGAACCCTATGAAGCATTAAACCAACCCATCAGAAATCCGCCGTCCCCCTTCCGTGCTCCGTGTCCCGAAGATCTACCATACCCCGAAGACTCGCATACAAGGCTTTCCACCCGTCCAGCCAGACCTACCAGACCTGCTCTTCAGACCGTTTCGGTATCTGACGGCGTTCCGGGGGCCGGACTGCTGAGCTCTTCTGGGGTTGTCAGGTGTCAAAGCCCATCATCATGCAGGTTGGCGCCTTTGGGGAAAGATGCCCGGGCTGGACGTTCCGTTTGAGAACAGGCATGTAAGTCTGCTGGTCGGGTGGTGGGGGGATGAAAAACCTCCCCCATCCCTAGCACCGATGGTTAGTTCCGGTGGCATTTTGGCATACTGGAGTTGTGATATCAGTGATGTTATGACTGTATTCAGCACGACAGATGATGGGCAGCAAACATTGTGATGTTGGAGATGTGATACCTGCCAATTGCCACTGTTAAGCACAGCAGTAACCTGTCTGAAGAGCCTCATATCATCCGGATAGAGATTAGCTGCAGAAAAGATGTTGCTTTCTCATCTACCTGGTCCGTGGAAGCTTTCACAAGGGCAAAGCAAACTGTCTTTCAACCTTCGAGTGGTTCAAGGGCAAGTTGGAAGAAGTTCGAAGGTTGAATTCAGCATCCGCAAAGGTTCCCATTCCCCAGATTCCCCTCCCTTATCGCCCACATCTTGCCCCGCTCCGAGCCTCCTTATCGGGAAATTCTGTGCACCAAAAAGTTGGAGTGCAGTTTACCTGGTACTGTGTAGCTTTCCCCCACCTGACCGACCCTGTGTGCTTGCCCGCCACAGGCATTGGCATCTCTTGTGTCACAATTCGATTTCACTTACACATTGAGGTTCCTGAGATAAATTGGTAGAGGATTGGTCTGTATTTATTTAATTCATATACAGACTACTTGTACAGAATTGGACTCATCAGCTTTTGGTTCCTGTGATGTTTCCGAACTCTGTGCCTAAAGGTAGCTCTCCGGTCGTTCGTCCGTTGCAAATGACTTGCCGGTGACGGTGACGTCAATCCACTGTAGGCACACTCAGCTCAGCACTGTAAGGCACTGTATAAGCGGACTCCGCAACCCTTCAATAAGAGAGGTGGATCTCCGAAATTCAACTGATCATTGACAAGAAGGGAGTTCCTTGACTGATGAAAGGTGGTTTGCTCAGAAAGACACAGCCCAGATAGAAGGCGATAGCTTCATGTTCTAACCTATGTACAGTTTTGGGAGTTGAGAGCTTGAATAAGAGCTTAGGACGGAATCGAGGTGGGGGCACTGCAGCTTCGGATTCCGGGTGTCAAAGCTCTTAGCTCTTAGTTCCAGCTCTTTGCTTCTTCGAGTCATGGACTGGAATGTGAATGTGGGATGGCGTCGTTCGGGACTCATGTGCGGTGCAGTGTTCACAGTGAGGTTTTCTCTTGCCATTGAGAGCTTGCGAATTTGAATGGCGGGGGTGTAGATGAACAACTAAGTGGAAGACATCATCATTCATTGACGAAGTAGGTACAGGAGTTCCATCGAATTGGGAATCGGTAGGATTATGCTTCCAATTGCTATCTGTCCATGTGTTGTAGAAAATCAGGGGCAATATAACCATGCGAACAAGATGTGTGAGGGGCTCCAATTCCAATTCCCAGAAACCTGGAGAATCAGGAGAATGCATCCAGGGTTAAGACTTACACTATCGTCTTATTGTCTTTCCGTCTTGTCGTGATTTTATAAACCTACGTCGAGGAGCTGCTCGAGTAACACACCTAATGATCACTGATCTGACATTCGCCAATCCCATCCATCCCAGGAAAGCGAACCCCTCATGTGTTCCCCCCATTCAGGGCGTGTACCTGTCAAAGAAAAGGTCACGCGCAAAGGGATTGATAGTCATTGGCGGGTTCGCCCCAAGGATTGTAATGGGGGGGAGCTTGGATCGTCGTGTGTATAAACACCTGACGATCCATCTTTCCTTGGGACTTCTGGACGTTTATGTACCTCCACATTTTGGGGGAACTTTGAGGGCAAAAGTTGGGGTCCCCATTCACTCAGCAGTTCCCTTTCCAGTTGCTTGCACTCAGGTCGGTCGGTCACCTGGTCATAGAAGCCGGCTTAAAGGCAACCGAATGCAAAAGGCCAAACATACTCATTCAATCCATCCATCGCATCGTCCCCACATTCCTTTTTCCATAATCTTTTGTGACTGGTGAGCAGCTAGAGCTTTTTTCGCTTGTCTTGCGTAAACGATAGCTTTCTTGTCCATTCATACCTCATCTTTTGCTTGGTTGAGCCCCTCTTCAGCTTATTTTCGTATCACCGACGCTGGGCAACCAACCACCTCAAACATCGAATCTCTCACACCCAACATCTGCGAGGCTTGAGTCACGAGAATCATGGCGGCCACAGAGCGAGAACCGACATCGTCCATCGAGGGGTCCAGCCCCAACCGCCCTCAAATGTTTCATCGGATTTCAGACAACGCCATTGACGAGTCTTCGGACGCTGATAGCGATTTCGTCAAGTTGCAGAAAACCATCAGCAAGGAGAGGCGGGAAGCTAGGGAAAGCCCCCAAGCTCGTCTGCAACGAGCATTCCCCTTCACATTTCATCCCAACATCAGACCCCTCAGCAAGTCTGACTACGAATCGTGTATTTCCCTAGAGAATGCGGCCTTTCCGGACCCAGCACACAGAGCTACACCCGAGAAGGCGAGTTCACCTTATCCCATATATGGGCGGCATGCGCCGGGCCGAGCCTCGTGACTAACAGCAGCCGCAGTTCGATTACCGACTTTCAACCTGTCCTGAGTTGAGCCTGGGTGTCTTTTGCACAGTTGTGCCAGACAAAGCCAAGAATTGGACAATCGAAACCTTGGATGCTGCCAAGCCTGTTGAAACGGATCGTCTCAATGGCGCAAAGAGCGTACTGCTGGCACATATCGTGTCTACGCGCTGCGCAGGAGACACCATCACGGACAAGGATATGGACTATCCAAAAGACTGGCGCACTCGTCGTGGTCGGTGGGCGGACGTGGGACATCAAGAGAGTGGACGTACCGTTGCGCTGCACTCCTTAGCCGTGGCCCCCAAGGTACATGGTTGTGGAATTGGCCAGATGATTGTCAAGGCCTACCTGCAGCAAATGAAGAACGCGGGACTGGCTGATCGCGTGGCACTGATATGTCAAGATGTAAGAACCATCTGCTCTTCCTTTGGCTTACCTTGAGGACGACAGTTGACCAGAGATACAGTACCTTGTTTCCTACTATGAGCGGCTTGGGTTCAAGTGTATCGGCAAGAGCCACGCCGAGTTTGGAGGAGGTGGATGGCATGACATGGTGAGTCACGCTTCCTGAGCATCCCCGGATTCTTGTCGACGTTCCTGAAATTCACCAGTTCTGCAGGTCATCGACTTAGCGAGTTATGAAAAGTGAAAGCCGTCAAATACCCCGTCCTAGTGGGTATCATATGGTATTCCAGAACGGCAAAGTTCCTGAAACCAACAAATTTCGGCCCGGCCCCAAACTTGTTGAATCAGATCAGATCTTCTATAGGATCCAAAATTCGGCGGATAGCTTCATTGGATGTGCAAATAGAACCTGACAACCCCATTTTCTTCCTCTTCTTCCGGAGTGTCAGCCACAAGTTTGCTGTTGTGGCCATGGTCAGATGGTTTGGGGAAACGTACCTGTGATATACATGTTACTTTTATTAGAATTCAAATCCAGCTTTTAGTCGGTAGCCTTGTACTTTGCGCGGTACTCCTCCGTCTTCTTGACGTCCTCGGGAGAAGCAAGGCCCCTCATGCCCTCGATGATGTCGTCCAGAGTCAGGATGGCAAAGATGGGAATGCCGTACTCCTTGCGGAGCTCACCCATGGCGCTGGGGCCAGGCTTGCTATCATCACCATCGGCGGCAGGAAGCTTCTCCATGCGATCAAGAGCAACGACAATGCCAGCAACAATGCCGCCCTCCTTCTCGATCTTGGCAATGGCCTCACGCTTAGCAGTGCCGGCGGTGATGACATCGTCAACGATGAGAATCCTCTTGCCCTTCAGAGGGGCGCCAACAATGTTACCACCCTCGCCATGGTCCTTGGCCTCCTTGCGGTCGAAAGAGTAGCAGATCTTGCCGTAGGTCTCGGGGTCAAGCTGAGCGAGCTTATCGGTGGCAGCGGTAGCGAGGGGAATGCCCTTGTAGGCGGGGCCAAAGACAATGTCAAAGTCCAACTGGCCGCTCTTGTGAGCCTCGATGATGCACTTGGCGTAGGCAGTAGAGATGGCCTGGAGGAGGTCGGCACGGTAGAAGTCGCCGGCGTTGAAGAAGTAGGGGGAAATGCGCTTGGACTTGAGCTCGAAGCTGCCGAACTTCAGGACGCCGCCGTCGATGGAGGCCTTGAGGAAATCAGCCTTGTAAGGCGAGAGAGCGGCCATTGTGCTGGTAGAAGAATAGAAGCTTGAAGAAGGAGATGGATGGATCCCAGAGAAAGAACCTTGACGTCTGAAAAAAAAGCTGGAGGAACCTGGAGAGAATTAAAAAAAAATAAAAAATTGGAGGGGCAGAAGGGTTCGATTCCTGGCGTCACACGCGGAAGTCTTTCAATTGAGTCAATGAGATGGTGGGTTACGAGTGGGCCAGTTCAAGGAGCCAGGCCCGCGAAGCCCGGTCATCGGCCGGTGGGCGCGGTGGGGTCCCCTGGGAAAATATGGGGTTAGAAAATCCCAAATCCTAGCCGAATGCCACCCCTTGGCAGGATGTCTTGGCAGCGCACACTTTTCTCCACTTTGGCAGTTTGCTTATCTTATCGATTGGAGCAGCCGCTGGAAAAATATTTCGAAGTAGACTTTGGCAGCACAGCGCCTCCCGTCGCCCTCCAACACCGCCCCCGCAGCCGGTCCCTATCCTTCAAGACCGTCCTCATCCTTCATTGTCTTGCACTTCCAGTCCGAGATTTCTCACTAGCAAGTGCTTGACATCTATACCCAAAATGACGTGGAAGGACATTGCCCCTGTGCCTACGTAAGTAAACATATTGGTTGTTGGATTGTATTGTCGTTGTTGTTGACATCGCTAACTCTCTTCTACAGGGCACAGGAATTTATCGACATCATCCTCTCGTAAGTCGAGATCGACAGCCCCCTCCCACGACGATGCGAAATCTTCGATCTCGAGTCAGATGGTTTGGATAGTGTGGTGCTGGATATTAACCGTTCAACAGGAGGACACAGCGTCGTTTGCCGACTCAGAGTATGTATAATCCGGACAAACACGTTGACTCATGGACATTGTCGCTAACCTCTTCCTCGAACAGTTCGTGCCGGTTTCAAGAGTATGTCGTCTCCGACCCGATACCTTACATGAGAACTCGAACAGACCATTAACTCGCGACACCGAACAGTTAGCAGAATTAGAGCCTTCTACACCCGTAAGGTCAAGTTCACACAGGAAACATGCAGCGAAAAGTTCGGCGCCATCGTCTCGAGCTTCCCTATGCTCACCGACCAGCATCCTTTCCACCGCGATTTGATGAACATTCTCTACGGTAGGGATCCCCCGCTCCTCTTCGCCAGGCGGTTTCAACCGCGGATCGGAAACCGCCCGGTCTTGTCGGGAATGATGGCTGACAAGAGGATGGATAGATGCCGACCATTTCAAGGTTGCCCTCGGCCAGGTCTCGACCGCCAAGCACTTGATCGAGACCATCTCTCGTGATTACGTCCGTCTCCTCAAGTACTCGCAATCTTTGTACCAGTGCAAGCAGTTGAAGAGAGCCGCCCTCGGTCGTATGGCCACCCTCATCAAGCGTCTGAAAGACCCTCTCGCCTACCTCGACCAGGTCCGCCAGCATTTGGCCCGTTTGCCCGATATCAACCCTACCACCCGTACCCTCCTCGTGGCCGGCTTCCCCAACGTCGGCAAGTCCTCGTTCGTGCGCTCCGTCACCCGCGCTGATACCCCGGTCGAGCCTTATGCTTTCACCACCAAGAGCTTGTTCGTCGGCCATCTCGACTACAAGTACCTCCGTTACCAGGTCATCGATACCCCTGGTATTCTCGACCACCCTCTCGAGGAGATGAACACCATTGAAATGCAGTCCGTTACTGCCCTCGCCCATCTTAGAGCCGCCGTCATGTTCTTCATCGATATTTCCGAGCAGTGCGGTTACTCACTCAAGGCCCAGTGCAACTTGTTCAGATCGATCAAGCCCCTTTTCGAGAACAAGATGGTCTACATTGTCCTGAACAAGATGGATATCAAGACCGTTGAGGAGCTTGACCAGGAATCCCAGGACGATCTTATGGACCTTACCAAGTCCGGCAACATTCAGCTTTTGCGCGCCTCTTGCGCTACCCAGGACGGTGTCCAAGAAGTCAAGAACGTCGTTTGCGAGGCCCTCCTCGTTGAGCGTGTCAACCAGAAGTACAAGGCCGGTACCAGCAGCAATGGTACCATGGGCTCTCGTCTTACCGAGGTCATGTCCCGTATCCACGTCGCCCAGCCTGCCGATGGTGTTCTCCGCGAGACCTTCATTCCCGAGGGTGTCAAGGGCCTCAAGAAGTACGACAAGGCCGACCCCGAGAGGAAGCTTTTGGCCAGGGATATCGAGGAGCAGAACGGCGGTGCTGGTGTCTTCAACGTCGATCTCAGGGAGAACTGGCTCTTGGCCAACCCCGAGTGGAAGTACGACAAGATCCCCGAGGTCAGTAACTTCTGCATCCCAAATCGCACGAAAATTTCTTTACTAACTTTTCATGTCTCAAACAGCTTGTCGACGGCAAGAACGTCTACGATTTCATCGATCCCGATATCGAGGCCAAGCTGGCCGCTCTCGAAGAGGAGGAGGAGCGTCTCGAGAAGGAGGGCTTCTACAAGTCGGACTCGGACCTCGGCGACGAGTCGGAGGAGGAGATCCTGCAGAAGGCCGAGTACATCCGCGAGAAGCACAAGCTCATCCGCAACGAGGCCAAGATGAAGAAGTCGCTCAAGAACCGCGCCATAATCCCCAGGAAAATGCAGAAGAAGTCGTTCGCCCAGCTCGAGGACCACATCGACCAGCTCGGCGTCGACACCGAGGAGATCAACCTTCGTGGACGTGCCCAGGTTCGCGAGCCCACTCGCGGCCGCTCGATGGCTCGCAGCCGCAACGCCACCGAGGACCCCGATGCCATGGATGTGGATACCCCCAAGAGCGCCGCCGAGCGTCTTCGCTCTCAGTCTCGCCCGGCCCAGCGTGGCCAGGGTGCGACGGACAGGCGCAACGACGGTGTTACTGGTGGTGTGGGTATGGATGGCGAGACGGCTCGTTCCAAGGTCGAGAGGGTGGCCAAGCTCGGCCAGCGCAAGATGAACAGGATGGCCAGAGCCGGCGAGGCCGACAGGCATATTGGTGCTACTATGCCCAAGCATTTGGTGAGTTTTCCCATTACTGCCAACCTTTCCCTTACATCTACTTCATATGCTAACCAACATGTGCACTACAGTTCTCTGGCAAGCGTACGGTCGGCAAGACACAGCGTCGTTAATTGGATCCATATGTTTGGTCGTGTCATGTCGTGTCTTGGGGTGTCTCGTCTCGTCTCATCTTTTGGCGGTTGTGTTCTCTACTGTCTTTCTGGGGAAATGATTCCATATATCTGCGTCATCTTTGGTTCTTTTTCATGTTTATAACGTAGACTACTACCATCTCGAGGCGTTCTTGGGCAAAATGGGAAAAAAAGGATGTCAACAATTACATACATACTACGTACATACGTGTTCTGATAGCAGATGTGGACTGTAACCTGTGTGTATCTGCATTCGTCGGCAATGCTAAGGTTGGGACGAAATCTGCTCTTCTATCTAAGCCTGACTTCTTGAATCTCTAAGGGATTGAATGACCGATAAGAACAACGAACGGTCATCCGAACCACTTCCCTCTTGCCGCTCTTCATTCCCTATTGCCTCCTTAGGTTGTTCTTCGGTGGAAGTGGACTGTAGCTTCTGTCTTTCGTGTTGCCCGTTTTTACCAGCTAGGATATCTCTTCATCACTCATGCCAGTATGTTTTGTTGCAATACCTTGAGCTTGTGGAAATTTGAATTTCGGCCATGGCACATTGATTTCAAATTAGACCGTTCTCACCTCATTTTGACACGATGTTCACAAGATCTGAACTCAGGGGCTGCCTAGAGCTTATCCACATCCCAAATAACCCACGGTGTCAACATCACTGTACACAACAGGGGCAGCTTCAACTTTTGATTACATGTGAGATTATCTTATTTGTCGTTCTACTTTCTTTTTCAACCTCCGAAGTTCGCATTGGCAGATTGCCATTTCCTCACTACAAAATTTCAAATCCATGGAATCATCTGAATTGCAATAGCTGGCCACGATGAGTGCAAACGTGAACGTGAATGTGAAAGAACCATTTGAAATTATGTATTGTTGTAGTATACCCTATCCATCTTGTGGCCTGTAGTAGTAGTCATTCCTCCCATCCATCCTGAATTCCCAGTTGTTCCCAGTTAAGCTAAAGTTAAAATTTACTCCTGCGACATCTGGATACCCTCCCTAAGACCCTCAACAACAAGCTCCTCACCCGCGCACCTGCGGTAAATGTCCTTGACGTCCTCTGTCGAGGTCTCGAAGTGGCTGGTGGCGTCGTAGCTCTTGGAGATGAAGATGTTGTCGTTGCGGCCGTCCTCGAGGGGCTCGTAGAGAGGAATGGGGGGACCCTGTTTTGGCGAATTATTAGCATTGTGATTGCCTGGTTTTGAGGGGAAGAAAAAACATACCATGAACTGCTCCTCGATCTTGCCGAGGCGCTCGATACCAGGGGCGAGCTCGAGGTGGTGGTTCGCAGAGGTCTCGGCAATGGTCGAGACGATGGCAATCCAGTAGCCCTTGGGGCAGACGTTGTGCGCGGAGGAGACGCAAGCGATGTAGATATCTAGACAAATCGTTTAGTATGTTGCTTTCGATGTTCACTTTCAACATGCAAAGGCGCAAACTTACCGTTCTTGCGGCCAACCTGCGACTGGGGAATGATCAACTGGCACGAGTCGGCATCGTTGGTGCTAGCAAGCGGGTGCTTGAGGATGCAGATGGCGCGGAGGACGTGGCCGACAACCTTGACCTTGTCGGGGAAGTAGCTGGGGTCGCCGAGGATCATCTTGGCACGGGTCTCGAACTTCATCTCGGGCTCGACACCAGTCATGGTGGCCTTGATGCCGACAGCCTTGCCGTTCTCGTACACGAGCTCGTCGACGTTGGTGTTGAGCATGTAAGTACCGCCGTAGATGGCGGAGAGACGGGCGAAACCCTGAGGAAGCTCGCCGAGGCCGTAGAGAGGGTAGATGTATGGGGATTTGCCGTAGCGGGCGACGGACTGGCCGTAGAGGCGGATGCGCTCGATGGTCTCAGGGGCGGCGCCAGGGGTATCGGAGGTAGTTGTCGTTGAGGTAGAGGGCCATGGCGTGGCCGACGAAGTCCTTGGTGCCGGTCTCGAGGCTGAACTTGTCAAAGACCTCCTTCATGGTGCAGGTGTTCATGTCGAGGCCTGAACGCGCCCATAGTTAGCGCGTCTGAACGGATAAGACAGCAAGTGTTGTCTTTGGCCAAACTTACCCTTGTGTGTGGCCGAGTTCTTGGGGTCGAACTCGCCAACCCACTCGATGAAGCTCTTCATGCGGCGCTTCTCGAAGATGCCCATAAGGGGCGAGCGCAACGCCTCGGCGGCATCTGAGGGGACCTTGGCGATGGTGGCCTTGGAGCCAGTACCCTGTTGTACGTAGCTGCCGGCAACCTGCTTGAACTCGAGGTAACGGGTGACGTCGGTGGAAACGAGAATGTTGGTGAGCTCGCCAGAGGACATGAGGAACTTGGGAACAAGGTCGATGTTCCAGTCGTTGGGGCGACCGTATTGCTTCCAAGGCTCGGTGCCCGCGGCATAGTTGCCATACTTCTTGAAGAGCGTCTCGAGGTTAACGGACGCCGCCTCACTGCGCAAACAGCCGTGTTAGCTTGTCTGTGTTCTTCGTCATGGTTCGATAGGGGGCTGAATGGGGGGAAGTACGAACCCGCCGTAGTGGTCGTTGCGGTCGATATGGAGGACCTTCTTTCCCTTGACACTGAGAACACCCGAAAGGATACACTCGGTCAAGCCAGTGCCCAGCACAATGACATCGTACTCCTTGGCGATCTCGTCGGCCATGGTTGTGGTGTTGATAGTATTAGTTGTTTGTTTTGTAATGTCGGTCTGCAAGCTACAAGCAACAAGCTACAGGTAGGTAGCTTGTTTGGATTAGAGGGGGGTGGTGGGGTTGGTGAGAGTAGGTATGGTAGATGGATGGTATATGGCAAGCAGGACAAACACACGGAGAATGGAAGAAACAGAAAACAAGAAGAATGGGACGGGAGGAACGAAGTCGAAGGCGGATCACTTAGTACTAAATGGGGAGGAGTCGCCTGCTGTGGATTGATTGTAGCCAGAGACCTGGGAGATAATAGATGACGGGCGGGACGGGGACTGGAACCTCGTCGCTCGTAGACTGGTGGGACAACTGACAGGAGGCGGCGTCGGTCACGTTCGCCCCGGACACTGGACTACGACCAGGCACTGACACTCCAGTCGAGACAAGGGACTACGTTGATGGACTCAGGGCTGGGGGCCGCACTGGGCTGCCACTGCACGCTGCATCGCTGGCACCGCCTGCACCGCCTGCCAAACAGCAGCTTCGACCTGTTGCAAGTACGGTGTGCAGGTGCAGGTAGCTGTCAGGCATGGGTCCAGGTTTCCGTCTTGTCCATCCACATTGATCATAATCGTTGCCTGTCAACGAACCTCAACCATTCAAAGCCATTAAAAGGCAACATCTACACAAGACAACTCTGATGAAAGTAGGGGGCATGTCCAATGCATGGCTCCTAGGTAGGCGGTCACCTAGGCGGTCTCTCCTAGCCCAGGCTTGCTGTCAGCCAGTGGTGGTAGCGGATGGCTCCTGGATCGTCACCGTCGTGGTAAGTGGGGGGAGTCTTAGAATGAGGGGCGGGAACGGGACCCCGCTTTGAGCTTCTTTGAGCTAGACCGGAGCCAAGGAGACGGTCGGTAATGACCCCCTAATGTCCCTTGGTGGGACTTTATCTGTCTCGCTATGATTTGATGTCCAGGCCCAAGACAACAACCAGAGACAGCACATTGAAGACCATTCATTTGACGGATGAAAGATCCCTGGCTTTGCTTCATCTTTCCATGGTCCCGCAGTGATAATTGAATTCGCCAAATACCTATATATATCCGATATACCACTCTCTCCATTTTGTTTCCGAAAATTGGACATTGAGACGAGCTTGTCTCGTCTAACCTGCCACTGACCCTGTCATTGCCCTTCCTCATGACCTCTCCATGGTCTCGCCTGTTGCAGGTTGGCGCCGATGATGATCTCCCCAGCTACGATGGAAATCTAGACAGATCCTAAGCGAGATGTTGGTATACAGAGAGATTCACGCACCCCGGATCTCGGCTGTTCAGTTCAGCCCATCACTATTCACCAGGGGACGGACCAGGGGACCGCCTGATATCCATTAGACACCCCATAGGTATCCCATGAACCCCATGGGGCTTCTTTTTCTCGTTGGCTTCCTTTATGAAAAAAACTCCCAGGCCACATGTCCCTTTCCCTCTTTTGGAACGTGGCCTGTCCGGTTGAATTTGGGCTGTTGTACAGTGAACACATATGATGCTCGTTACACTATCGATACAGGTTGGTTGCAATGTGTGGTGGTTTGTTTTTGGAAACGGGGTATTTCGTGACTGTTTCCCCCTCGTCCTCTTACTGCAGGGGCAGCTTCACGACCGACCGTCCGTATACTTCATGGTCTTCCTTCTCCGAACCGCTTCCTCGCTCATACCCTGGGAGCTTCGGCCTGGGACTTCGCTGATGGTATTGTGAAAATGTCGGCTTGTGTGGTAGTAGTTTGCGCCTCGCTGGTGGCCTCGGTGGCCTCGGTAGGCTCCGTCGTCTCTTCCGCCTCCAGGAATGAGCTAGGCTTGTAGGGCCTCTCGGGGTCGGACAGGTCGATCTCCGGGTCCTGCTCGGCCAACTTCACCGCATCCTCCCAAGCATAGAAGCGCTCGGTGAGCACATGCTTGATTCCGCGCATCGTTTGCTTGACCTAGAAAGTTGAAGAAAAGAGAACCATTGTCAGTTTCTCTGCTGCTGTAAAACACGCCCATTAAACGGGCTTTCCTTCCTTCCTTCCTTCCTGATCAGCCATCCACCTACATAACGATCACGCTCGTTGGCCTCGGCCATACCGAAACCCAACTCGCTCTTCGTGCGTTCCCAGTTCGCCGTCGCAATGCGGTTGCGCTCTTTGACGCACACCCACCACAGCTTGTGCAGGTCGTCCCACGACTTCTTGCGCAGCTCGGAAACGGTCCAGGCGCGGCCGTGCTTGGCGTGCTCGATGGGCGCCATGGCGACGGTCTCACGGTCGTAGAAGAAGTCCCAGAGGCCGTGGTTCTCGTCGACTTGGATCGGGGGCAGCTCGTCGCGGGGAACGGGCTCGGGGAGAGGTTCGTCGGAGACAGAGAGCTTCCAGCGCGTGCCAGACTTGTGCAGCGCAGACTCGCCACGCTTTTTGGAGTTGTCGCGGGTCACGCGGGCGGTCGGGTATTTGTGGCGCTTGAGGAGGGCGGCGGAGGTCGAAAGCGCTCTGACCGGGACGGCGACGGCGACCTTGGGTGCTGCTGCGGCCGAGCGGCAGGTCTGCATAATGGCGCCCATGGAGGGCCGGAGGGCGGCTGGTGAGGCCATGGCGGAACGGTTGTGGTGTGGTGGGTGGTGGTGGTGGTTGGTTGGTGAAAGTGTGAGTGAATCCCAACCCGATGCCCGCTACTCCGTATGCACCGTCGTCCGAGTCGCAGTGGGTTGTCAATCTAGGCGCGCGGTGCGGACTGCGGACTGCGGTGCGGCTCCGGGACGGCAGCAACTCGCTCCACGGCCTCTGGCAACCGCAAAATTTAGGTGGGTCCGAGCTTGGTCCCCGTTCGTGCCGCACACGGAATCCTCATTGGTCTTAATCGATCAGTCCGGACGACGAATTGCCGGATGAATTGGCGGCAAACACGGTAGCAGCCGCTAACAGTCTACACTAGTACACACAAGGTTAAAGTTGAATATAACTTCACGTCCAATTACTTCCTGGCCAATCATATGGCTATGTGCTGTTTACTTAAAGTTTACTTGACGATATTCCTACCAATGACAACTTTCATCGAACGACACAAGGTCAACACCGTCTCTTTATCCCGAGGTCGTTGACTTCCAAATCTCACAAGTCCGTCAGGTCTTTCTGATTTCAATCGCTGAGCAGCGGAAGTTGCCATTCTCTTGGTAGACATCATGGTTTTCCAGTGAGTGCTTCGTGATTCCGATCCCAGTCACTGACACTCCTTGCCCGCCGGCTGCCTGTTCACCACTTACACCATTCACATGTTCTGTTCATCGCACCCTATTCAATTTTACTTCCGAATCTTTCATGACATGACATTCAGCCAAATACCTCCATTCTTTTGCCGCGGCCTGGGAACCTCCCGAATCTAACAAAACACAGAACCTACCGCAACCTCTCTCCACGCGCCCGCCTCGGCGTCGGTATCGCCTTCACCCTCTGGGGTCTCATCGGCCTCAAGCTGTCTGACAAGGCCGAAGAAAAGCTCGGCTATACTCCCACTGAAGAGGACCGCAAGGCGCTGGAGAGGTACAAGCCTCGGATTATCGAGGTCGAGAAGGAGATCGAGAAGGTCATTGGCAGCGAGAAGTGAGATCTGTTAGCGGAGGGTGAAGTCGGAGTGATGGGGATGTGATGGTGATGGTAATGCAGATATGAAGAGGGGCAGATCTCTCGATGCCACCACCGGGACCTGATGATGGGTAATTTCTTCCTTAAATCTTGGACTTCGAACGGAGAAGGCTGATGAAGTGGGAGGACGGTATCGAACGAGCCTGGATGGATAAATGGATGGGTAACAGGACAAATCATCCTCCGTCCAGCGAAAGACCGAAGGCTAGAACATTCAATGAACGGAAGACGAAGCGCGTAGCCAGTTGAGCAATTGGGCATGGGTCGTCCATGGCAACAACAGCGCCGCAAACAGCAACAGAAGCAACAACAACAACAGAAACAGAAACAGAACAGCACCAGCACCTGTCACAGTCAGGGAAAACAAGAGCAAGCCATTATAACGATTCGAGACACCGCCTGCCCCTTTATACCGCATAGACTTCTGTATAAACTCTTGATATGATACAGTAGACTAAGTGGCTATGCTATGTATGTACAGCCAGCTCAGCCCAATCCTGTGAACCATGAAAAACCGACATTACCTCTACAGCAGTCACACATTCCAGTTCAAGTATCCCTCTTCTACGCTCATTTGGTTATATGTTCTGGAGATGGTTCAGTCTCGGACAGCAGAGAACCGACAAACCTTTCCCGGTCTTCAAGCCCGTTATGTTTATTAGCGAACCGAGTGTTTCTTCACTTGAGAAGCTGTCACCGTTGTTCGCATCGTGATGAATCGACATTTCACCCATCCAAGATACACAACCGCCACCCCTTCACACAGCTGCTCTGCTTTCGGTGACCGTGACTTATTTCTTTACAATGACACGACGGCGTCCTCCCGTTCCCGGGCCTGTTAAACGAAACAAACCAACTTCAACCAAACCGCCGCGAACTACTCGCATTTTTTGTATCTTTTTATCTTTGAGCGGTAACTGAAAGCCGACTTGAAACCTATAGTACAGACCGAAACGCTCGAGAAGAGCTGACCTTCAGATACTCGAGGTTTTACGTGATCATGAGATACCCCGTAATCATGGTCGTGAAGCTCATCATGTTCTACCAACCTTGCTTAGGCTTCTAGCAAGGTTGGTAAACCTGGACGGGCAGAATTTAGATCAATATCTCTGCTCCCAGAATGATCATGAAGATCAAGGACTACAAAGTACCTCTGATTCACAATTGGAACACGTCATCGAGAAATTTATCCCCGTCGTTACTAGATTCAAGGCAGGTGGAGGTAGAGGAAGATTATCCTCGTTCCTTCCTTCCTTCCTTCCTTCCTTCCTTCGTTCCTTCCTTCGTTCCTTCGTTCCTTCCTTCGTTCCTTCCTTCCGTTTTGGTTAAACCCCCACCACGCTTTAGTGAAAATTTAAGTACGTATCTAATCATTTCTTCCTTGACCGTGGCTGCGGTTGAGGTTGACTGAACCACAGTTAACGGTTCTATTCTTCCCAAACTCGCTTCAGCTGTACCTAAGTAGTTAAGGTATTGCCCGCGTATCTCAGGCTGCTCTCAAGATTCTGATAGTCTAGAACCGTGTGAGGAAGAAGTGAAGAAAAGGATGGGATGGAAGACAAGATTTTCTTTGGCTCCTTCCATCTGATCTTGTCTGGGGCTGATCTGGGCCCGGGTTGATCCGTCCCCGCCGTCCACATCTCTGGATTTGTCGGTGGGGCTCAGCCAGTCGGTTTATTTATGCTTAAGTGGATTACATATGGTACTCCGCTAGAAGGGGAGGTTGGGGGTACCGGGGATAAGTGTATGGATGGGATAAAATACCTCAATAATCAAGGCAAATGTGTTGACGGCTGGGTCGCTGCTTTCTACCCTGTGTTGCCTATGTTGTGAGTTGATGCCACTGAGGCGTCGTACAGTGAAGGGCACATTGTTATAAGCAAACCTTGTGGTTTCAAAAAGGTTCAGAGAATATGTTCACAGTCACTGTCATTGCTTCTTCAAAGTTTGCTTGCATCAACGCTTCACTTCCATTCTCAACCTTGCACTACTAAACCTACCTACCGTCTAACTCTATCTATAGACTTAGACAATTTCCCTCAACCAGCACATCCACTGAACAACCTATGATGGTACATTCAACACCCCCATCCCTTACCCTTTCCTCCCAATATTCCTTTTCCCTTATTCACTCCCTGCCTTTTCTTCCCTTTTGCCCCCTTCTACCTGCCTTCCCCCTTCTACCCTTGCTCCTTTCCCCCATTCCCTTTTTTTGTATACCACTTCCCTTGAACCAACCCCAAAGACACCGACCGGGTGACCGTGACTATGTAGACCGAAAGACCGAAAGACCGAAGACCGTTCATCAAGCAATGCCATCTGTTCATCGTGTACTTGACAGAGGCCATTGAATGATGTTGAAAAATGGAACGATGACGACGCCAAAAACGATGCGTTTTGATGAGAGTGAGAGGACGTAGGTGTGTCAAACCGAGTACCCCTTCAAATGCCGTTTTCCCCTTCCACCCTTGGGAATCCAGTTCCCCTTGCTTTACCAGCCCTCCCCTCCTGTTGTTCCGTTTTTCTCTTTTTCCCCAAATTCTTCTTTTGTCTTTTGTCCTGCCCTGTCCTGTGCCTGTGCCTGTGCCTGTGCCTGTGCCTGTGCCTGTGCCTTGTCTATAACTTGCCATTTGCCATTTTGTTGTGCCTGCCATTGTGGGTGGTGGGAGATTTGCCTTGTCTTCTCTTCTCTTCTAAAATGCAAAGCCGTAAAAGAAAGAAAAAAATGCGTAAAACAGAAAAACAGAAATCTATCACTTCGTTTCGCAAACACAATGCAGCACAACGCAAAGGTCCGACCAGATCCGACCTCGAAACCCCGTTGAGCCCCCGGTGCTCATGGTTGATGCAACAAACAGTTAGAAAGCCAAATAGCCAGAACTATGTCAAAACGAATGTAAAAAGTGAGAAAACAACCCGAAAAAATGATGACGCCATTGATGCAGAAGTGCTCGCTGTCCGATCGATGTTGGAGAACGTATTTTGGTGCATGAACGAACGTCAGTTGCCGTCCCCCCATCTGTCTCTCTCTTTCTCTCTCATTTTGGTCCCTTCATAACTGACCGCATGCTCGGAAGCGGAAGCGGTGGGTGATATCTGACGGCTCAACTCGCCTCCTCTCTCGTAACTTGTCAGTTGTCCGAAGTGTTGCATCGTACCCAGTGAATGAACCCGAACTTCTGCGGGATGCCTCGGGTAATGTTGCCAACCAATCGCTTATCCTCCCTCTTGAAAATGGATAATTGTCGTACCCTGATCCTCCATTGGTCGTAACCGTCACCAATTCTTGTGAACTTGATGTATCGATCAACTCATGGCTTTTTGCGTTCTTCGCTGAGGCCTTGTTTGGAAATGACAAGAAGCGCTCAGTGTTGGATCAGGATGATGCCGTCGTGTGATTGGTTTCCGCATTGCCCAAGTCAGCCCAAACAAGTCGGGACAACACCCTAAAAAGCTGCTCCGACCAGTCGATCGACCAAGAACCTGTGTCGTGCTCGGCATCCTTCGCGTATGAGAAGGTGCTGACTCCCTTCTGCTGCTCATCCAGATTCCATCCATTTGTCAACCGCGGAATCGGTCCCATCTCAAAGTAAGGCAGGATACCCGCGGTATTTTCAGTCGCGTGTTTTTGAGATCAAGGGCAACCGGGATCCGGAAGCATCGAACTGAGAGTCAATGCCGGAACAGCGCCAGGAACCAAGGGACCGGAAACGTCAAATATGATGCGAAGTCGTTGGGTTGATCGATCCAGTTCATCCAGAAAAGCAGGTAATGATATTTTGGCCACACAATCGAGTCCATGGATTTGATACACAAGAGGCGGTCCCGGGATGTTTTGTATTCACTTCATTTTTTTTTGTCTTCTCTTCATGCCAGAGGCTTGTACATATACCGAACAGGTATATCATATCGCTGTGCCTCTCAAACTCCAGTCTGGTCCTCCCACTCACAACACGCTTAGGTCCGCAAGGCCAGGCTCGTCAACTTTCCGCGACTCAACGAGACGTGTAGAAAGAGTCTAAGCAACACCTCAGGGACCTTACCCATCAGGGCTCCAAACCACCATCGATCTCGAGACCTGACGAGTATTAGCCTGTAGGGCTGCGGTGAGAAGCACAAGGCTAATCAGCACACGCCGTAACAACGCTAACGTATGACATCCAATACGCAAAACGTGAGGATTCATGGGGACTGGCTTGTAATGCGAGCAACGCTCGCGGATATTATCGGACCCGAAAACACAGCCTTATAATGCTAGTCGATCGGATTTCATGGCGTTGTCGGAGGGATCTGGCCAGGTCTAAATGATTTTGTTGATTTTGGTATTTTTTGTTGATGAGGCTATTGGCTAGCCAGTTCACTCCGACATCGGGGACGAGGGGCGGAATCGATTGTCGTCAGATACTCCTACCGCTCGAATTCTTCGCTTTTAACCGGCGATTCCTAAGCACGGGTTTGATTGCGTTCGGGACCTGAACCACACCATTAGATCAGAACACATATTATGTAGGACGAAATTTGAAATGGGTATGAGGTTGCGCACCATTCTGGAACATCTGGGACCAATCGGTACCGCCCGATCCACCAAACATTTGCATGCCATTCTGCTGCTGGGGCATGCTGTAGTTGGCAAGCTGGGGGTTGATGTTGGCGGTCATGTTGTTGTTAACTTCCTGACCGTTATAAGTCTGGTCGAAGCTGCCTCCGCGAGTGGTTCCACCCATAGCGGAACCAGTCATGCTTCTCCGGTCACGATTCTGATCATCAATTCTATTGATGCTGCTGGATCTCGACAGTTGATCCTGGTTGTTGCCCATGTTGTTCATGCTATCGGAGGTGGGGATGAGACCAAAAGGGTGGACCATGCCGTCAGCGGTCATGTTGCCCATACCGTTCATGTGGTTCAGATCGCCACCCTCACCCATAGCCTTTTGCTGGGCCTGCG